TAAGCGCCAAGACTTGTAGCGCCAAGACTTGTTTAAGCGCCAGACTTGTTTAAGCGCCAAGACTTGTTTAAGCGCCAAGACTTTTGTTTAAGCGCCAAGACTTGTTTAAGCGCCAAGACTTGTTAAGCGCCAAGACTTGTTAAGGCGCAAGAACTTGTTTAAGCGCCAAGACTGTTTAAGCGCCAAGACTTGTTTAAGCGCCAAGATTGTTTAAGCGAGCCAGACTTGTTTAAGCGGCCAAAGACTTGTTTAAGCGCCAAGACTTGTTTAAGCGCCAAGACTTGTTTAAGCGCCAACCTTGTTTAAGCGTCAAGACTTGTTTAAGCGTCAAGACTTGTTAAGTGTCAAGACTTGTTAAACCGTAAAGAGTTGTTAAACCGTAAAGAGTTGTTAAACTCTGTGATGAAATAGCGCTTCATGAGGAAATAGCTCTTCATGATTGGAACTGCTTTATAAAATCTAGTGGCCAATTTCATAACTATATAACATTCAGAGGGGTACCATTTATAGTATACCCGCTAAAACAAATAACAACTCTAATTTGAAGTATCCTGACAGGGATGCAATTTCTATGCTTGCCATGGGCGCTTGAAAATCTAGATGTGCCTCTGCATGCAAGGTATACAATCCCATGCATGGAATACCACTTTTTTTATTTCAATTTTTAAAGAAGATTTTTAACTTAGATTTGGTAACCTCAAGTTGATGTTTGCTCCAAATGAGCTTGGAGAAAAAATTAAGAGTACAATTTTGTGGGGCAGTCCTAAATCTGCAGCAGAGGCTAAACTTCATATCCACAAAAACAGAGCTGATAAATTTTATACATCGGTGCAAAAAGCAAACGAGACATGCAATTGTCCTTTTTCCTATCTCTTAACAATACACAATTTTCAATAAATTTAGCAAATTGTTGCAACACAAATATTAATTTTGTTGAATGAATGAGTGTTCTAAACAAAATGTAATATTCTTAAATAATATTATGTAAAATGGATAGATTTCGGTTTTCTTTAGACTCAATTCTGACACTGAAGAGAAAGGAAACATGTCAACAACAATTAAACCCAACTTCTGATCATATAAAAGTTATTAAATAGAAAGTATATTAACAAATTTAGTGCTATCATAGTGAACTCACACAGAAAAACCGGACAGAATAATATAAAATGTGCCTGTATTATTTAAGGTTTCTTTCCTCCTGAAAGGACACAAATACTGATTTGTTGCCTTTCTCCTCAGCCCGAATCAATTCTTGTAATGCATGCTCTGGTTTCAGTGGTCCGAATGTTTATTGTTGTTCAGTTCAATGAGTAGCAGGTATTGTATTAATCAAGTATTTATGATATCAGGTGGCAAATTGAAAAAAGTGATCCATTGTGAGAAAATTAGCAAAGAAACACTTCTGCATTCAAATTAGGAAAACTCAAGTGTATGATACCTTAAATATAAAGATAAAATCAAGTACAAGTTGTTAAAAGAAATTCCGGGAAACAGAAAGCATCTGAAACATCTTCCTACAAGGAAATTAATGTGATCATTTAGGAATGGTTAGTACGTGCCAGGACTAACCATGGATGGCTACTGGCCAGCCTAGGATATCATTTTTTGGGTCAATTATTCAAGCAGAAGCTTGAATAGCTTTAATAGCAGAAACAATTAAAGTATCTCAGAAATTAGGGAAAACAATTCAAAGCCTCCTGGGTCAAGAGTTTCAGATGGCATCAGAGTATTGTTTTTAATCAAGTTTGTGGTGAGGTAAAATATGTTGATGTAAGAACTTTAGAAAATTGAAAAGAGAAAATTTCAAAAATTGTAAGCATAAGAAGCAAAATGACTTTCAATGGAGACAAAACTGGATTTCTTTTCAGAATGTTACCTATGAAATCACTAGTTGAAATGAGTGATCTGTAGGAGGGAAAATGTCAAAGGCAAGAAGAAAGGTTTTGCTATTTCTAGATAAGGCCACTTGCCATCCCCGAATTATTTTATCTAACGTAAAACTTATATGGTTCCCTCACATCACTTACACTACCCCTAGATTAAGATGTGATTTCCAACTTCAAGCACTTTTACAGTAAGTATGTGATGCAATCACTCATCATTAAGCTTCTGGAGTGTTCGAGTGTTATTAAGTTATGCAAATTGATGAACGTTCTGGGTGCTGTGAACTAGAAAAGCAAGGAAAAGAACAACATCCTTACTGAAACAGTGATGAGATAATTCCATAAAGCTGCCTTTTACAACATAGAACCAAGCTTTAGTAACAATGAAATATCTGATTTGAAAGTGCAAGTATTGATTTTAGTGGAGATATTTAATACATTTTGATGATGATATCCCTGTATGTTAACAGGTGGTTAAAGCAGTTGATGTGCTGTAGGAAGCAAAAGAACAGGATAAAGTTGATGAAGACAATTGCATGAGAATAAATGACAAGAGTAAAGAATTGAGACATACTGTGACACTAATTGCACCGAATGACTTGTAGGCATTATGCACATAAAGAGATTGCATTGATCTTCTGAATAAACTTCAAGATGCAAAGGACGTTATCTATAACGCACCCCTAAAATCTTTCTGATAGATGAGCATTGAAGATTACTTTAAAGCAATATAAATGAAAATATAAATTCTCTGTAAAATGCTTGTTTCCTTATTATTGGTTCATTCAAATTTAAAAGGCAAATTTTCGCATCATTTGTTCACCAACATTTTCTTTCCTTGGCTGATTATAGGAGGTTGCCACAATATTCACAACAACCTAGGCAAATAACTGAAGCCTAAAATATCAGATAAATTCATCTGTTCCTACAAATATTAAAGAAAATAAATTCTTTTTCTTTTTAAGGAGTTCTTTGTTTCATTAGACTTTGTATGGTGTTTCTGTATGTCATTTTCTTTGTCTCTCCCTGGGAGCCTTACTTTCTTTGAAATAATGTTTTAGGCGAGATAAACAAAATTAACATTGTGCTGGTGCTGTGATATTGTATTGTGCGTACTCATAAAACCTATTCCGTCTTTAAACAATTGTGTTTTCTGAATTAACAGCTTTTATAGAAGACCTAAATAAGCCAAAAACCTGTACAAAAGGGAAGAAAATATTGCAATTCACCACTCAGCATTTTCAACACTTATTCACCACTGTATATACCTTGAAACACCAACAGAAACATGATGCTGCTGTTTTCATTCTCCCAGAATATTCAGAATTAAAAATAGGGCCAACGGATTTATCTTGTTGAGAAGAATCAAATGAGCACACCTCTGTGGGAGCCTTAAAACTCCCTGTAAGTGCTAAAAATATTCCAAAATCAGTTTTTATCATAATTCTCTCAAGGGATTTGGAGAGAGAAACAATTATTTCCCCAACTTTAAGACTATTACACTTCATTTGCTCTAGAACGTGGCTCAGAAGAGGTTTAACCATGAGTGGTAAGACATACATGTAATTTTCATAATTACTATATACAGGATAACATACAATATTCCTTGCAGTATTTTTTAGTTCACTTTTTAATTATACGCACCTCATTTCTTAACTTTGTAATGTTATGGCCTCCTTTGCCAATAATAGCACGGGCAACCTGGAAGCAAAAGGAGGAAATGGATATGTTAGATTCAAAGATTAATAATAACTTTAGTGAAGACCTCAATTACGCAAGATACATTTCAATTTTCTTTTTTTTGAGTTTGAATTTTTAATTTAAATCCAATAGTAGACAAGAAACTTAATTATCACACTAAAATAAAGAAAACACATTTACCCAACTTGGAATTAATAAACGAATTTCAGTGTCACCTCCAATCCGAGATCGTTTCTGTGCAGAACCTGATTCACTGTCTGACGAACGTTTTGTACCTGTATTAAGGGAGAAAAAATTATTATAGCACAAAAGTAAAAGCATGTTACCAAGAACAAAACCAAAACCTCTCCTAAACATACCACCATTGAAGAATACCATGATTCTTCCATGATAATACCGTCAAGAAATGACCTCTACAATTTAGAGATTGGTATAATGGGCAATTAGAACTACAATTTGCACATCAATTAAGCAACAATAATATCTTTTAAGAAGTCTTATTGGCACTTAAAATCATTATTACTTCTATTAAAACGATTCAGAAAGATTGCTCACGACATACAATAAGAGGAACATGATGGTTTTCCATGAACACGCAGAGCAATTAGGTCACATTTTTATCTCAGTCCGCATTGAATTTACCAAAAAAAACAAAAGCAAAGCCACCATCATCACAAAAAGTGGGAAAATAAGACATTTCATTTCAATGTACTATGCATGCACGTTTTCTTGATCATCCAGCTTCGAAGTTCTCACTCAGACCGGTAGAAAATAGGAGTAATACTTGGAACATCATGGCTTAGTTTGTAGCAAGGCACACCTTTTTTACAATGCAGACTTTACAGTTTTCACACACTTTCTAATGACCTCTGAGTACCATGTTCATTCTTGTTACACAATAATTTCTACAATTATTAATTAATTCTTCAGGATTTAAAAAAGAACATGCATTGTTTCTCATTGCTATCTATTGTAAGATGCGCTATTACACCGTTTTTTCTGTCAATCACGTTGACAGCACTTCACTGCTGTGATGTAGAAGGAACCTGCCTCCCCCGCACTCCTGCTGAGGAGTATCAAGAAAATGTGTGCATGGAGCACTTAAGACTTTTCTAATTTAAAGAATCTTACCATTGTTATCTGTTTTAGGAGATGAATCGTTATCAACTTCATTTTCCTTCTCAACAGATCTTCTTTCATCATCTGGATTACTTTGCGTTCCTATCACAAAGCATCAAATGAAAATTATACAACCTTGCAGTACTGTTTAGAATTATAATATAGACAATTTAATTTTTAAATTTTAATAATATACACAAAAAGACACTAAAGGCAAATTCTACTAGCAAGATCATTGTATCAAAAGTATCTTTCAATTCCCACAAATATTAATAAATTTCAAAATAAAAATCTTACCATTATCTGCACCAGGAGAGTCATGTTCATCATTTGACTCCATGGTGGCGTCTCTTTTTGTGCTTTAGAACTGCAAAATATAATGTAAATAGAAGCACTTTCCAATTATATTACAACTATGTTCCCAGCATAATCTCAAGACAAAGTTTACGCAAGACACACCATTCTAATTAACATGACTGACCAAACTGTAAAACATATCAGAAGAAAATATTTTTAGCACCACAATATTTAATTCAGATCTTTTCCACAAACACTGTCAACATAGAATTAACACTCACTATGCTTTGCAAAGGGTCTTTAATATCACTTGTTATCCTGTAGGTGCCTATAAATGACAGGTGAGGTCAACACTCAAATATTACCATTACACATCCCTCTGGGGTTCCAATTTCAAATCTTTCCACACTTAATTTGGCCTTTGAAATGAAAACTGTGACAACAAACTTACAGTGGGCGATTTAACTGAACTCCACAAATAATCTGATATCATCGAAATTATTTATAAAATCTTGCCTGCATAGCAATATCAAATTGGATTCTAGTTTAACTTCATACGTACATCCCACAGCAAAGCGTCCAATTTACACGCGTCTAAAACGTATAACAACATGCAATCGAGAATGAATTCTCTTACTCCACCAAAGAGTCCGGATCCAAAGAAGCTTCGACGATTTGTCCCGCCGCGGACGCCACAGACGCTTTTCACTACTCCCGTGTAACCACAATTTGACTCTTTGATTATAGTCCGTGTCTCTCAAAATGTATAAAGCTGACCAATATTCGTTCACTTCATGAACTTCGTTCATTTGAGCAATATTCGTTCACTTCTTTGTAAAAATGTTGGCGGTGATTTTGCAAATACCTCTTACAAATCATAAAAGGATTCAAAATTCACACTTCGACCTAAAAAAAATATTAGAGAAACGAAAACGAATACGTTGCATCCATATGACAAAATTAAATGACGGAAGTTGAAATTATAATTACTAGGGAGAGGATTTCTATGATTTTGTATATTTTATCCGTTGCTTCAAGGCATAGAAAAATTAAATTTGTTGATATTTGGTTAGAATTGGATGCTATGCAGATTAATATTTTCCCTGTTTGGGCTCATTCTTTTAATTATAGGAGCATATTTTGCATACAAATTTCGTTAAAATAGAGACTTATCTCTAAAACGTTTCATGTTTGATTCATGATATATTCTAATTATTTGTGAATATTCATTGATTAGAAAGAGCTTGTCACAGATTTTTTTAAACTTTTCTATAGATGATAAAGTACATGTGAAAATGTAGGATACTTCTTGATATCATATTTTTAAAACCATATATGAACAATCAAATAAGACATACAATGTAATTCACTAAGGTGCATATTTACTTCAATTATTTCTCCCGCGAAGTAAGCTGGCTTATAATACATTTGCACAAAAACATATCTTTCCATTCGAAGCATTTTTCCTTTAAATTTCATCAAAAAAATTATACAAAAAATTAAATATTGTTAATTTTAAATGCGTATTAAAGTGCATATTTAAGAATTTTTAGATCATAAATGTATATTTCTAAAAGCATATCTCAAGTTTTTTAGGTCATAAAAATCTTCTCCCTAATAATTATTAAGAGCAATTAATTAATTAATAAGTTACTATACTGCGGGAGTTGGAACTTTGGGATAGACAGCTTCTGAAGACATGGTGCTCCGTTGTCAAACACACAAGCCCGCGTTGTCTACACGTGTGTTTTTGTAACGTGGAAAGTCAGGACCTGTCTTCAAGATGGAATATCTCACGGCATTTCGCGTCTTTCTCAGTCGTGCCGCTAATATGCCTCTAGACACATAGCACTGCTTGATACGGTCACGAACATGCTACATCTAGAGGCACGACCGAGAAAGACACGAAATGTCGACAGATATTCCATTGTGAAGACACGCCATGTTATAAAAACCGAAGTATACCGCCATCGCTACAGCCATTCACGGCGCTTTTTACGCCAAGAGTGCAAAAGCTGCACTAATCCTTCAGGCTCGGACCATCCACATTGACATCCACAGAACGCTACTAAAAGTATTACAGGACAATGAACTTGAACCTTAACTTAGGACAAGCTACTTTAGCAGTGACCTCTTCTATCACCCCCACAGGACAACGGAAGAACGACACACAAAACTTGTGATTAAAAGATTCTCACCGAACATCCCCCTTATTGACCTCTCAACTGAACTTTCACAACACAACTTTAAAATTCACCACTTATCTGAAATGAAGAGAAGGAATGACAATGACACCCTGACTGGACTCGGACTCTACGTTTTGGAAGTTAACAAAGACGATACAGACAATATGAAATCATTAATCAAAACCTTACTGCAACACAGAATTTCCATAGATGACCACCACCAAACTGACAGCATCCTCCCAAGTGACAAATGCCAAATGCTCTACCACACCAGACACTACTGCCACAGACGGACTATCTGCGCAAAATGCAGCGACAACCACCATACCCCGACTTACCCTAACTCCTTCAAATGCGCATTCTGCCAACAGGATCACCTCGCCTATTCACCCAACTGACTCATCACGATTAAAGCAAAAGAAGACAGAAAGCATTACAAGTGAAGAAGACAAGACAAAACACACCGAGAATACCTCCCTCCAGGCAAGACTTCCAACAAATACCATCCCCTGCAAACACCACCCACCTCAGACAAACCTACTCAAATACTACTGCAAACGCACCATCCATTATAACCTCCTCTTTCAGTGACATCAAAGAACTCCTTATCTTACTAAAATCCTGAAACCAATCAAAGCTCTTCACATCCGTGAAAGACATCAGTAACATGGTAAAATGGCCGACTGATTCTATGACAAAAATCATCTTCATATTCACCAAAGTATGCGACTTAATTTAAATTCAATAGACACAGACTTCTCAACAGCTCCTCCTGGAACACCAATGGCGGACTCGCTCGAAAACTAACGGATATTAAGCAATACTTGACTGACTACTCCGTAGGGGTAATACTAATACAAGAGAAACATCTAAGACCCTTTGAACCCTACTGCATCCCCCAATTACATCACCTACAGGACAAACCGTTCCACCCAAGGCGGCGGAACGTCTGTTTGTATTTAAAAAAAGGACATCCCCCACACCCAACTCCTCGCTCCAACCCTCCACATTGAAAATACCCAAATCTACCTATCCACACCTCAAGGACCACTCTCAATGACGTCGATTCACAAAACCAATCAACACCCACTACTACATGACGACCTCGACTTATTAACCAAAGACAACTACAAATAAGACATTAATTCAATTGAACTACCTGCTTGCACAAAACACAAAATTGACTGCCTGGGGATGCAGACACAGCAACAGAAAAGGACAAATACTTGTAATATACTTAGACACAAAACAGACTGTACTTTTATCGGCACCATCAGATTCCACACACCTCATCCGAAACGTCATGGTGTTGCTCTAGATTGGTTAAGTTCGTGTTAAACAACGATCTCAGACAGTAGAAATACCTTACTGGAATAATGGAACATTATATACACACCTTTCTGATTCTTTGCCAATTGCATGTAGAGTCCCGCAAGGATCGATTTTAGACTTTTCTCTTCCCACTATACGTAAACGATATGCCATCGCCGATTAGAAACGAAAGAAGTTCTCTTTGCGGACGATACGAACACTCCTTGCAATAAAGAAACCGTAATTAGTACAATATCAGATGTTTCAAATCTGTTCCGTAATAACAAATTAATAGTTAATGAAAAGAAAACGCTCTCAATGCAGTTTTCATTTCAAATAAACAGCTCTGCCCTTCTCTGAAAATGAACGGTGTGCCATTGACTGATCTTAAGGTAACACAATTTTTAGGTCTTTCAATACTGCAAAACCTTGAATGGAACATCCATTTAAATTAATTGAACACTAAATTAACTTCATAAAGCTACGCTTTCAAAATTCTTTCAAATTCAGTAAGCCTTCATACTGTTTGTTATGTATACTTGGCGAAATGTTCATTCCCGCTTAAGATATGCCATATTCTGGGGAAATGCATTTTATAGCTCAAAGACTTCGTACAAAAAAGAATTGTACGAATAATAAGCAAATCCCATCCAAGTGATTCTTGTAAGCCTCTCTTTATTGATCTATACATTTTACCATTGCCGTGCCCCTTCACATATGAACAGGCCAGTGTTTTTTGTCAAAAATGACTTAAGGGTGGGAATATATTTTCAGCAAACGCTGTTGTCTATAACTACAACAATCGACGTAGTAATCATATTCATCAGGTGACAGTATCAACAGCTCACTACAAAAAAATCACACACAAGACATGTGCATTATTTTACAACACATTGCCAGATGACTTTAAACGATTAAATTCGATACAAAAGTTTAAATCCCAAGTAAAATCTTTTCTGCTGCACAACTGTTTCTATACAACTAGAGACTTTACCGAGAAACCAAAAGGAAAGTAATATTAATTTTGATAATGACATTTAATGTATTATTTACCATTTGAATTGTATAATTCTAAAAAATCTGTAACAAGTATTTTACTTCAGCTTCTGGGTCAATAACCCCCATCTCGATCAGGTTTTCGCCCAGTTTTCCTGATGCAAATGTTGAGATGGCCCCTTGTTTTGCTTCTGACCATAAATGTAAGTTTAAATTATCTTCTCCCCATAGCACGTCACACGTCACGCACATAACAAGTGCAATAATATGGAGCACCTTGCATAAAACGGATACCACTCAAAAGAGGATTTTCGTGGCCGATCGATTCCGGCTTAGACAGATTTTACTGTACATAGAGTGACGTTTGGCCTATTGACCAAACGCTCCAGCCGCCCACGCAGCTAGGATGTCAGGCTTAGGCGTCAGAGAAGAGCACGTGCCACTGTGGTCACCGTGGTGTACGCATTCTAGCATTTGGTAACCGGAACTCAGCACGGCACTTATTAGGCATGGCCAGCGCGGGGGTCACTTCCCAGGGGGTATGACGCGCTACTACCCCTCCACGGAAGGGACGGCACTTTAATACGCCGGGCAGCTGACCAGAGCCTCATGGTTCAGTCGCCGGCGGCGACGGAGGTAATTTTCAACAACGCCGTTAGTTATTTTATGCATGTGAGGACTGTGGGCTCGGCGGCGTTCAACGCGCAGAGGAACGGGAAGAAGAGAGAAGGCTTGGCAAGAGGATCCCAGTTCCAGAAGAGGAGGCAAGAAGGAAGAAATTGGAAGTCGGTATTTGGATTGGATCTGACGGACGCGGCGAGCGATGTGACGGTGCCCGGCGAAGTGGGCAGAGGCGGAGCGGCGGGGCAAATACCCTGCGCGAGGAGTAAGGCCCCGACGAGGCCAGGAGCGAGCGAGAACCAGTACAAGGTAAAATATTTGTATTTGCGACGAGAATTCTTTCGAAGTGCGTTGAGGGCGACGGTCGCGAAAACACATTTTCATAAACTTAGAGTAAAGAAAACGTAAAGTTTGTAAATAGTAAAATTATTTAATAATTGATTTCCTAAAACGTTCATATATATGGGAGTTAAATATGTATTATTGAATCATTTAATTGAACTTGAGTCAAGATTTCTGTGTGAGATTTTCGACGAAAACTAAAGTGTATTGCAATTTTATTTGCACCATTTCTCCAGCCGGGTACTAACCATACAGAGTAGGAGAGTTCACAGTGTAGTTCTTTTAAAGAAATTCTAAGTGTTTCCAAAGAGTGATGCTAATTTTCTGAAGATTAGATATCTGAAATGAAATTCATGATTCGAGTCTTCAATATGAGTGTTATTCTTT